AATGTACGATTTGCAGATGGCGGCAAAAACACAGGATGCAGAGCTGAAGATGAAAAGTGATAAGGATGGACAGGATCAGAAATGAGTATATAGAGGGCAGAGGAAGGATAGTGGATATATTGGGAAAAGAATCCTTAAGACGGAGCTGCCAGGCAGAGGAGTTTGATGGCTCTAGTGAAGCAGGACATGCAGAGGTGGTGTGGCAGAGGTGAGATAAGGTGAGATGGCACCAGATGATCTGCTGTGGCGACCTCTAAGGGCAGAGGTCAATTTAAGAACTTCCAGCTAGGTAACTGAACTTTTTATAAATGAGAAAAATCATGGAAGACAAACTTTGATATTCTTTTTTTTAATCAAAGACATTTGGTTGATTATTCCTTTGTTGTAACAATACTACCTGTCTTTTTATACAGTTGGAAAGCCTGTTTCTTTCCCCTTAAGTTGTGCCACATTTATAAGGAAAATGTAATGTGGGCTGAACCATGAAAAACTTCTTTGCCAATGCCAAACAATTGTATAAAGCACAGAATCAGTTTCTTCCATGAAGAGCTGTCAAAGGACATCAGGGACAAGACTGTAGACCCGCACAAGCCTGGAGTGGGCTACAAGGCCATCAGCAAGAAGGTGAGGTGGTGGATCAGCCCAAAACTACATGGGAGGAGCTCGTTAATGATCTGAAGGCAGCTGAAACCACAGGACCCAAGAACAGCGCTGGTAACAAACTACGCTGTAATGGACTAAAATCTTGCAGTACCATAAGGTCCCCCTGCTTGCCCACAACCACAGCAGCAAAGAGTACTCGCGCATGCTGCCCACTCTGTGACCTACCTTCACGCGACCAATAGAAACAAGGCGTACAGCCGGGCTAAGCTCAACCACACAATGAACGAGGATCTTTATGACACAAGTGTACGTGCATATGGTCCAGAGCCCTTGAGTAAATCATTCCATTCAACACATTGGCTTCAGAGGCCACAGCAAATCTGTGGAGAGGTTAGGTTAACACTGTTATGTTTAACACTTCCCTAATAATGCAGAACCAGATACAGTCAGGTCAAGTGTGATAATGAACACCTGTTGGTGCACACACAATGCTGAGAGGCACCTGCTCTTCATCAGCTCCATTTTTTCCTCATGACAGGGCACACAAACAAAAAGTCACATAGTACAGTGAGTTACTGAGGACAGGTGATCATATTTTATTTTACATGTAACCGTTGGTCAAGAAAGGCTTGAACTACTGGCTAAAGGGAAATTGAAACGTGCAATAAGCAGAAGAGACGCAAAATGTGTCAAACGGAGACAAAAACTACTGCAATAAGAAACAAAAAGATACAGAGAATATCTACAAAAACAAAAATGTTCAAAAACTAAAATGAGATATAAAACACAAGCAAAGATGCAACAAAAACAAAACTGTGTCACACAATCACACGACGAGATTTAAAACTAAACAGGGAAAAAAAACATGCAGAGTGATACAAAATCAGGTAAAATATCAGCCGGCTACAGAGTCAGAGACACAAAGCAAACAGAAATCATATCTGCATGTACTTATGAACCACTGTTTCATAATCTGTGTCCTGTACAACAGAGTCTGAACCTGTGCCAAACATGTTTGCTTTGCCAGGAGGAGCTCCTCTTGTTAGTCTTATTCTTTTAATGTGATTGTTATTGCTTTATTTATTATCATTATCGACATAAATGTACATATTGTGTAACAAAGAAAGAAGTAGCGCAATAATGAGGAAAAAAAGAGGATAAG